TTTGGAGCCAGTGGCACAGGCTAACTCTAATGAACGGTATACTGTGTAGGCGCTGGACGGTGCTGGAAACAAATGAAGATATGCTACAACAAGTTATACCTCTGTTTGAGAGGCGCAATATTCTAAGACATTGTCATGATGAGAGAACGTCTGGACACCTAGGAGTTTACAAAACGTTAGCTCGAGTTCGCCAAAGATATTATTGGCCGGGCTTGCAACAAGATGTAAGGCAATATGTTACAGGCTGTGATGCCTGTACTATGCGGAAAAATCCTAATAAGAAGAAGGTATCACCTATGGAAATTGTACCCTCTGGCATGCCTATGGACCGCATTGCAACTGATATTCTTGGTGAGTTGCCCATGACAGAGAATGGGAACAGATATATTTTGGTAATTTCTGATTACTTCTCAAAATGGACAGAGGCGTTCCCAATGCCTAACATGGAGGCTAAAACCGTAGCAAAATTGATCGTAGAAGAAGTAGTTGCACAAGATTCGGGACACCCAGAATAATTCATTCAGATCAGGGTAGACAATACGAAAGTGAGCTCTTTACTGAGATGTGCAGGCTTCTGAACATACAAAAGACAAGAACCACTCCCTACCATCCACAGTCAGATGGGATGGTAGAGAGGTTCAATCGAACCCTGACTGCCATGCTAAGTGCATACGTGCAAGAAAATCAAAGAGATTGGGACACGCATATTCCCTATGTCATGATGGCATACCGATCTGCCGAACATAAGTCCACGGGGTTCACACCCAACATGCTTATGCTCGGTAGGGAAACATCACTTCCAGTAGACTTGATGTATGAGATGCCTGAGACTATGAAAGAGGACAGTCCTAACCATTGGGCTTGGACTCTTCGAGAGAAATTAGAAAGAGCACACAGTTTCGTGCGCGAGAATTTAGAAACTGCGATGAACAGACAGAAAAGGTACCATGATATGAAATTGTCATGGGAGAAGTTTAAGCCTGGAGATAAAGTTTTTGTATTCTTTCCTCAGAAAAAGATCGGCTGTTCTCCAAAACTTACTTCGTTTTGGCGCGGACCATATGAAGTGCTGGAGCAGTGGTCTGATGTGCTATATGCAGTTTCATGTGGCAGAAAAGGAGAAAAACAAATTATCCACTGCGACAGAATGCGGAAAAAGAGGTCTCAAACTCTAAGTTTTGAAGATGCAATAATTGAAGATGAGTTTGAATCAAATGATTTAGAATCAGAAGATACAGATCTAGTTGAACATCATGATATTGATGTTGTGGAAGAGTTAAATCCAGATGCTAGACAAAAACGTGTTAGAAAACAACCAAAATGGTTGCAAGATTATGAGACAGATCTTAGTTAGATTGAAAGTTTATTTGAAAATAAATATTTTCGATGAAAATAAGCCAAGATTTTTTTTTATTTGTAGAAAATGCCGAACACCAAGTTCACGAAAGCCAAGTCAAGCAGCAAGCGTCTCTTGTGTGTTGGTGAAGTTCTGGATAATAGATGGCGGGAACATCTGGTGAGAGGCAATGGAGGAAGGTTCCCATGTAAGACCTGTGGCAAACTCTTTAAGAAGAGCTCTTACCTACAACGCCATGAGAGAAAATTTCATAATAAAGATGAAGTCCCGATCGAGAAGGAAAGCGAAGTAGACAAGGAGTGGCTAGAACAAGATCCTGGTGATTTGATCGGAGAGATTTCCAATGATAGTAGCTCTGGCCACAGTAGTAGCGACAGTGGTGAAGATGAAGAAAAGGAGCAGGAAATATCATCAGGAGAAAATGGACAGAATCCTGTATCACAGGTTGACCAGACAAACAAGAAAAGTGGGGAAGAAAACAATAACAGTCTTTTGGAGGAAGGTAGAACAGTGAGGAAAGCCACAGCCCCCTTGCCTGTATTCGCTCCGAAGAGAAAGACGCCTGAACGCATGCCTGAGAAGGACATGTCAGTGAACCGATTCAGGTTTAAGTCACATCAATCCACAAGCACACAAACTGACTTTGAAGAAAAGTCACGAAACCTTGTGAAGAAAAGGAAGTTTCACAAGATAACATCTACCTACGTCAAGGATGACAAGAAGGTGGAGGAGATCATCGAAGAGGAAGAATTCTTTTATGGTTAGTGATGAGTGACTTATTGAAAAAAAAAGAAGAAAGAGAGAAAGTGGCAAATAGCACTTTTAAGAACACTTAATGATAAGACATGGTGATAATACATGTATATAAATGTTTTGGTGCGTTTATTTTGAGCGTAACCTGTTATCTAGTGTGACAAAATAAATAAAAAAAAAAAAGTTTATGATCAGGAATCTTATTTATCTATATGCGGGACGCATATGTTTCGGAGGCATGGGTAATTGTAGTGAAATTCCTTTGATCAAGTTAATAATTACATAATCAGGGTTTAAATTAGTTTTGTCAATCAAAAGTTATCTCCTATGTCCAGGCATTGTTTCAAACGTTTAGAAGATCAGGATCTGACTCAGCAGATCTTGGGGAAGTATATAAGCGGGCTCATTCAAGTCCCGGTGGTCAGCTATTGAGAGGCCGTAGAAGAGGAAGGACGCATTACGGACAAGGTAAGGTATTTGTGTTAGCTCATTTGCGGTGTCTCAAAGTTCTGCAGACGGACCATTTGAGCTACATAAATCCTTACGGGTTAATTTAATAGTAAAACTATATTATAAACGGGTGTTTGAAACCCGGTGTTCGAAACTATAGGTCTGGGAGCTAGTGCTCAAACATAGTGTCAGACCAGGGGCTTAGAACGTAGACTAGGAGATAACAATAAGGAAAATTATAATTATATAGAAGATCAGTTTAAATCACTGTGTTGTTGATTAATATTGATTTTGTTTGTTCTTATATTTAACCCAATCAGCTAAATACGTCAAGTAACGTAAAGGAAAATTCTTTATCTATACTTCATCCGTGGTCGAACCCACAAAACACATTACAATATATTATTATCAGCATGATTAGAGGGAAAAAAATACTCCTTCAAAATATTTCAATAATGAGTACTGTACACTTTGTACAATATTCAGGAATATTGACTGATGTTTTTAAAACCTATTATAATAAATACATGCAACAATTAAATTTGTTAAATCAGGCAGCCATGTGAAGCTATGCAAATATAGAGTTCTCCCAATTAAAACACTGATTCACAGTGTTGTATCTATAGACAAGAGGCCCATGGGCCACATCGCTCACCTGAGAATCTTTTGTCATATTGTTCTTTACCAGATTTCCCCCTTGTAATACATATTGTGGCCCCGCCCAATCCCCGGGGGTCGTGATTTGAACAATTTAGAATCTACACTACCCCACAATGCTTCCACATGAGTTTCAGCTTTTCTGGCCCAGTGGTTCTTGAGAAGAAGATTTTCAAAGATTTTTCCTAAATATTTCTATGTAAAACTTTGATTCACCATTGTGGCCCCGCCCAACCCCCGGGGGTCATGATTTGAACAATTTAGAATCTACACTACCCCACAATGCTTCCACATGAGTTCAGTTTTTCTGGCCCAGTGGTTCTTGAGAAGAAGATTTTCAAAGATTTTTCCTATATATTTCTATGTAAAACTTTGATTCCCCATTGTGGCCCCGCCCTACCCCCGGGGGTCATGATTTGAACAATTTAGAATCTACACTACCCCAGGGTGCTTCCACATAAGTTTCAGCTTTTCTGGCCCAGTAGTTCTTGAGAAGAAGATTTTCAAAGATTTTTCCTATATATTTCTATGTAAAACTTTGATTCCCCATTGTGGCCCCGCCCTACCCCCGGGGGTCATGGTTTGTACAATTTAGAATCTACACTACCCCAGGGTGCTTCCACATCAGTTTCAGCTTTTCTGGCCCAGTGGTTCTTGAGAAGAAGATTTTCAAAGATCTTTCCTATATATTTCTATGTAAAACTTTGATTCCCCATTCAGGCATTTTGGCCCCGCCCTACCCCCGGGGGTCATGATTTGAACAATTTAGAATCTACACTACCCCAGGGTGCTTCCACATCAGTTTCAGCTTTTCTGGCCAAGTGGTTCTTGAGAAGAAGGTTTTTAAAGATTTGTCCTATATATTTCTATGTAAAACATGGATTTCTTATTGTGGCCCCGCCCAACCCCCGGGGGTCATGATTTGAACAATTTAGAATCTACACTACCCCAGGGTGCTTCCACATCAGTTTCAGCTTTTCTGGCCAAGTGGTTCTTGAGAAGAAGATTTTTTAAGATTTTTCCTATATATTTCTATGTAAAACTTTGATTCCCCATTGTGCCCTACCCCCGGGGGTCATGATTTGAACAATTTAGAATCTACACTATCCCAGGGTGCCTCCACATAAGTTTCAGCTTTTCTGGCCCAGTGGTTCTTGAGAAGAAGATTTTTTAATGACCCCACCCTATTTTTGTCTTTTCTTGATTATCTCCCCTTGTGACAGGACTTGGCCCTTCATTTTTACAATTTAAATTCCCCTTCATCCAAGGATGCTTTGTACCAACTTTGGTCAAAATTGGCCCAGTGGTTCTTGAGAAGAAGTCAAAAATGTGAAAAGTTTACAGACGGACGGACAGCTAAACAGACGGACAGACGACGGACAAAATGTGATCAGAAAAGCTCACTTGAGCCTTCGGCTCAGGTGAGCTAATAATTGTTGGTATTTGAAACACTGATGGATTGAATATGGTGGATATGAATTGGAAGTACTAATTCTTCAAGAATTTTACTTTGGATATCTTGAATACTCAGATATCTTGAAGTTTTTATCAGTTCCACTGAGTTCAGTGCAATGAGATTTGACTGGTCAAAAAATGCCTTAGATGCTGAATCTTCTTAGAGGTCAAGCAGCCCAAAATGAAAATGCCTTCTGAATTTGTATCATCAGACTGCTGTTGTATGCAAATTATGAGTTTCCTTTAACAAGTTTGAAAGATTTTATAGATAATTGAAATTTTGACTTAAGTCTAAGTCTGTTTCATGATCCCGGGGCCTGGTACTTACTGTAGATTCCCTCTGGACACACAGTTTAATCTCATTATCCATAGCACTTAATATCCCCTCTGTGTGCATAACTGAAATGGAAAGTTTTATGAGGAGGAGTGTCTGTATTTAACCTTTAATGAAGACACATGCATTCATTCATTTTTTAGCTTCAATAAGAAACTTATCACTTACAGCTGATCTTTTCTTTCTTCTTTTGTTCATACTTTTCCTTCTTCTTTCTCTCTTTTTCTTCCTCCCTTTCTTTGCTATAAAAAGAATTTTTCAAATTTTATATTTACACCTAGTCTTCAACATTGGTAATTCCCATACATTATGTACTTATTATCAAAACAAATAATACTCTAGATCAGTCGAAAGGCAGCCCATCTACCAGTATTACCATGCTACTGATCAGATTTCTTTTACAAACATGTACATGTACATGCAGGGACACACCCATATGAAATATAAACAAATCAACAGATTTTAATAATACCCGATTACCCCCCAAAAATTCATTCTTCATGCTACATGTACAACATGTTAAACCCCTCTCCTCTAAATCTATACCATTTTAAAACAAGAAATACATGTCAAACCTCTATGGCCATGACTTACATTTTGCGCTCCCTCTCCCTTTCTCTTTCCTGTTTACGTCGGCGTTCCTCCTCTCTCGCTCGTCTGGCCTCCTCTCTGGCAATCTTAGCTTTCTTCTCTTTCTCTAGGTCTTCCTTCTATTTGACATAAAAAAGAGAATCCTCTTTATTAAAACAAAATCAACTTGCCTACAGATTTCCTATTTAATAATTTTCCTTTCATCAATGACGATAAGCAAGATATACTCACTGATTTCTCTTTCTCCTTAGGAATTTCCTCTTTTGACTGTTTAAAAAAAATTAAGATTTTTCATACCTTAGAAAAATTCACATTTAATAAGCAAGTGAATAAAAAAAGATCCTCATTGTGAAATAGGACAAGTACATGCATTTATATTCAAACATCTTAAACGAAATACATACATACATACTTATTTTATGAATATTTACCCTGTTCAGAAAAGAACTAGTATTTACCTCATTCACAATGTCCTTTTCCATCTTTTCCTCCTCCCCCTTGGATTCTTTGTTTTCCTCCGCCCCTTCCTCCACTTTTTCCTCTGACTTTTCCGCCTGCTCTGTTTCCTCCGTATCTGACTCTATCACTGGTTTCTTGGGGGATTTTTCCTCCTTGCTGCTCTCCTCCATTTTTCCTTCCTTCATGGATTCATCCTTTTCCTCTTCCATTTCCTCTTCTTCCTCCCCTTCCTTTGACTTGCCCTTCTCTTTATTTTTATCCACCTTTTGTTTCTTAGACTCTGGTTTCTCCGCTTTCTTTTTGACATGTTTAGAAGGTTTTGGTGTACTGGATTGATGTTCCTCATCTGTTGTCTACAACAGAGTACAAGAAATTTAGCTTCTTAACCTTGGATTTTTTTTCTTGAAAATCTTATCAGATCTTATCAATCCTTTTTTTTCATACAGGTAAAAATTCCTAATTAAGTAATTGTGAAGAATGTCTATTAAAAAAAGCATTGCTGGTTTATCCCTGATAAGGCATGTCCCCAAAAATTTATGTAGCACTGCAGGAGAAAGGCGTCTGGGGTTCCTCGCCTAAGAAGTCATTACCCACAGAATTTGAACATAATAGGTGAGGACATTCCCCCTGGGTCTTAGATACATATCCCTTGTTATGTTCCCCAAACGAAGTTGGGGAACATATTGTTTTTACTCTGTTTCTTATTATTATTATTATTATTATTCTTTTTTCTTCTTATTTCTTCTCCGGTACTTTTTTGTCCGGAAGTGTTCTCAGAAACTGTTCACCAAACTAAGTTAAAACCTTTTTAGGGTTAGTAGGCATGTTGTGTAGATGTGCCGAACGAAGGTCATTTTGCGCGCATTCGCATGCACGTGCGGGCGCGTGCAATCAGTAAACTGACTGATATATTTAATATGGTTGTAACTTTTATATTTTTTGATAAAATGTTTTGAAACTCATTATATAAAGACATATAAGTTGTGTAGATAAGATGACATGGTCAAATTTGCATAAACTCACGTGCACGTGCGCTTTGCTCTGATAGGCTGAAACAGAAATCTTAATATCTTTTTTGTTTTATGATGAAATGCTTTGAAATTTATAACATAAACATGTATAAGGATGGACTACAATATGATATATAAAAATTTTCATGAAATCACGCGCATGCACGTGCGCTGCAATCTGATTGGCTGAAACTTTAAATGACTTTATCTCTCTTGGTTTTCAACCAAACAGCATGGGATTTAGAACATAGATAGACATTAATGACTCCTAGAAGATGGTATGGTCACCATTCACCTTCATGCACGTGCGTGCACGTGCGCTTTGCTCTTATTGGCTGAAACAAAAATCTCTATATTTTTTTCTGTTTTTTCACAAAATGCTTTGAAATTTAAAACATTGGCATACTTTAAGATGTCCTACAATAAGATATATAATAATTGTCAGGAAAACACGCGCATGCACGTGCGCTGCAATCTGATTGGCTTAAAGTTGAAATGGCTATAACTCCCTTGTTTTTCAACCAAACAGGATGGGATTAAGAACATAGACAGACATAATAGACTCCTACAAGAAGGTATGGTCATCATGCACGTGCATATGAGTAAAATAGTGTAGACAAGATGATATCGTCATTACGCTCATGCAATCACATGCGCACGCCTGCATTGCTTAAATTTGAAATACTTGGTACACTTTTGGGAAAACGTTGTTTACGTCTTAAATGCATAGATTTTGCCTTCTTTAATGAAAATTACAGGGAATATGGCACGAGAAGGGAGTTGGGGAGCGTTTGGGGAACATCTGTAACGGTTCCCGTTACAATTAGCACTAGTTTACCTTGTCTTCTTCCTTGTTTTTTCTGGACTTCTTCCTCGGCTTCACCTCTTCCTCTTCTTCTTCCTCCTCCTCCTGATCTTCCTCCCCCTCCTCTTTCGCGGCCAGCCTCTGTTCCGCTCGGATGGCTTTAATCCTCTCCGCCTCCTCCTTCTTCCTCCTGTTATAAAGCACATTCTTTTATTATTTGGAGACTTAGGGAAATTAGGCATTTCTTGTATTAGACATCAAAATCAAATTCAATTAAGTCTTTGTTAATTGATTTTAATTTTTTTTTCCAAGGCCATCTTCATAAAATTGGTTGTTTGCCCTCTTCCAACTGACTGGCTATATTTAGCCAAACTCATAATGTTTTTTTTTAATTGCAAGGAATGGTATTTCTTTTAAAATTCTTTTTTTCCCCACAATTTTCTCATCAAACCAACAAGCATGATGAAATTTTCTTATGAAATTCCCATGTACTTTCTGGCCCAATTTATTTTTTACTTACCCTCATAAAGGGCAAACAAACATTCTTTTATAGATTGCCTAATAACCTTTAATTTTAACCAGCAATCAAATTAAAATTCCTTATGAAAAATTAACATAATCTTATTCACGCCCCCCCCCCCCCCCTTCAGCCTCTGATACAAAACATACTTTTCCTCAGCTTCTTTGAGTTTTTTCTCCATTGCTTTCTTCCTCTCTTCATCTTTCTTCTTCCAACTGCTGACTTCCTCTTCGGAATCACTATAGAAATAGACAGGATCTAAGATTCTTCCTTACTTCATGTATACATATAATATACAGTCAAACAAGGCTATCTCAAATTAAATAATCATGAGAAAGCAACTTCAGAGATATTCAAATATTGGAGAAATCCAGGGTTGAAATACAGAGAGAATATGTGGTTGGGATCTCCAAATCACATATCCTTGGTATTGAAGATATCAGTGCTCCAGATACCAAGGTTTTACTGTACATTGTTATACTGTGTTACTGATAAATTTTGTTTTAAATAAAATATATGTGAAATATGGTGTGTTTACAGATAGTTCATAATGCAATGCTTGAAGCATTTGGACACTGTCTCTTATTTCTTTTGAAAAAAGTAACATCAACTTTACACAGAAGACAAACAGACAGACAATGTGAACACATACCTATCACTGCTGATTTCACTATCACTGGATACAACTTTGTTGGCAGTTTTCTTTTTTCCTCCAGTCGAAGGTCTTCCTAAAATTAAGTATAAAAATATTGGTGAACAAATACATTTGATAAGGATACAAGATGTATGTCTTAATGAAACATAAATGTTCTTAATCAATTTAGTAGTTCAAAATACTTGTGAAATGTGACAATTTTTTTTAAATTAGAGATGTCTTATTTAGAGGGCCAGATACTAAGCTAATAACTTGCATGTAATCATCAATTGGCACATTGCAAAAAGATGTACAGAAAAACATATGGTACATACAGTACTTATATCTAAGAAACTCTCATTTCTCTCAGAATTAGAGCATCATCAAGTCTAAGCAATTGTCTACATTCCTTTTTTCCTTTTTCTAATCCCCTACCCTTTTTAGGTGGTGTGGTGGTTGACTTCCGAGGCCTGGCTGGTGCTTTCTTTGGTTTCTTCTCTTTCTCCTCTGTCTCCTCTTCGCTTTCCTCGTCTTTCTCTTCTTCACTGTCCTCTGATTCTGCCGCCTTCTTGCTGGCACTCTTTCTCCCTCTTTTCTTTGGAGGGCTTTTCTTTTTCGATTTAGAGCTCTCTTCCAGTTCAAAATCCTATTTAAACAAAAACAGACAACAAAACTTTTAGTCAAAATCAAGTTTTATCTGCATTCTACAGTGTACCCTTCTTGTAATCAATAAATTACAGTTGACCTTCACATGTACAGTAAAATACACCCCTCACAGCTAAGTGCCAGGGACCAATAATATTGATTTGTAATATAAACATATTTCCTTTTCTCTTTTCAATTCACATAACATTTTAAACTAACTGGAAATGGACATAATTTCAGTGTAAGTGTAAATTCACTATAAGCATGTTCCTCTTTAGAACTCTCTTATGCACGTTGTCTGTATATTGTATTACAGGTATATGACTATAAATGAGCATTTTAAATTACACCACATGTACTTTCTTTTTGCCTCATGAGGGTCCTTAACTGAATTAAATTGAACTAGTTCGCTATGTACCTCGTCGTCTGGGTTATCTGAGGAGGGACCTGACTCCTCTTCCTCCTCATCTAATTCTTCATCGTCTTCCTCATCTTCCTCCACCACTTTCTCTTTCTTGGCTCTCTTAGCTGGCTTACCCTAAAGGAAGAAAATATCACTCAATAATCATCAAATCATTCTGAACACTTAATACATGTATGTGAACATTAATGCCATTATACTCCTTTATACCCTATTTAAATCTCATGCTGAAATACTGTAAACAGGGAAATTTTGGCCCCATTTTATTTTCACCCCTCTTGCCCTATCCTCGTGTGGGCGAATTTAAAATGGGGCAAATACAAAGAATACAGTATAATTTCTTAAATAAAACTCTGACTGGGCAAATTCAAAACGGGGCAAACTGTTTGCAAATGGGAAGGGGCAAAAGTAACACTAGGCGAAAACAACCCTGTATACAGTACTTTCCATTAACTCAATACATCCATGAATAAACTAACTTTGTAAAACTATCAGTCTTTCACTCAGTAAAACAATGTATTTAAGTTTCATTCAAATACTACGCTAC